TCTTGATTGTAATCCTATCTCCTTTGCCCTCTGGAATATTAAATTCCAAGCCCTCTGGTCCCTTAATGTAGAAGCTGCTAAATCTTGTGTTATCCCGATTGTGTTTCCACAGCACTTGAATTGTTTCTTTCTGGTTGCTTGCAGTATTTTCTCCTTGACCTGGTAACTCTGGAATTTGGCTACAATATTCTAAGGAGTTTTCCTTTGGGGATCTCTTTCCGGAGGTGATTGGTAGATTCTTTCCATTTCTCTTTTACCCTTTGGTTCAAGAAGATCAGGGCAGTTTTCCTTGATAATTTCTTGAAAGATGATGTTGAGGCTCTTTTTTTGATCATAGTTTTCAGATAGTCCAATAATTTTTAAATTATCTCTCCTGGATCTATTTTCCAGGTCAGTGAGGGAAAAATAGTTCCACAGTTAAGGTAAAATTACAAAGGCGTTCACAAACACAATCCAATGAATTTAGAATTAAAATTCTTGATTTTCTTAAAGAAAATATGATGAATTGAGATAATCCTTCAAATACTGACTTATAAATAAATAAAAATTATTGTAAAGTATCTTACCAGAGCATCTTTACATCCAATATGGTTCCTAATTGGGCAGTGGTTACATATAGTAAGTTACAATATATTGATACTGCATGTTACAGTAAGTGCCTTTTTGTTTTCAGCTGAATTTAAGTTCCTTTTATTAAAAGGGCCCATATCATTTTCATCCATGAGGATCTCTTTTTTAAGAGCATTTATTCATTGGAAAAGATTTGGAATAAATAGATCTAGGGTTGAATCCTGGCTCTGTCACTTTATTATCTCTGGGACCCTGGACAACTCACTTAACCCTTTGGGTTTTCTCAGTTTTCTCCTCTGTAAAATGAGGGGGTTAGAGTAAATGACCTTCTAAGGCCATAGATCATAGGATCAAGAAGGAATCTTAGAAGTCAATGAATCCAACCCCCCTCATATTACAGATGAGAGACCCGAGACAAAGACAGGTTAAACAACTTACCGAAGATCACATTAACAGCAAGTGGTAGGGCTGGGTTTTGGGTCTTTGGACATAATAACTTATGTTTTGTTCTGTTTTTTGGTGAGGCAATGGAGTAAAGTAACTTGTTCAGGGTCACACAGCTAATAAGTGTCAAGTGTCTGATGCTAGATTTGAATTCAGGTCTTCCTGAATCCAGGGCCAATGCTCTATTTACTGCGCCATCTGGCTGCCCCCATAATAACTTTTGATGCTCTGGAAACACTCCACAGGGTTACACAGAATAGGGAATGGCAACAGGTTAGTAAAATGGCAACTGCCAAAGGACCAGTTAACTTCCAACTGATAAAAACAAGACAAGTTATTTAGATTTAATGTTGACTAGAAGGGTATTAATTAAATTTGGAGACCCCTGAACAAGAAGGCAACTAAATGCAGTGTGAGATCAGCTCTTTAGATCACATGGAAAGTCTCAGTTATATACTAGTGTGGCCCTAATACTCTTTCTTATGCTATTTCCTAGGTTCTGACAGTGATATTTTTTTGCCTTAACTTACCTGGAACCAGGTTTCTGTGTCATTTCTCACCCACCATTTCCAAATGCTACTGCTACATGCATGTCCTACCCCTTTTCTGCTCCCCATTATGTGGTGTCTTCCCCCATTAGAATGTAAACTCCTTTAGGGCAGGGATTATCTTGCTTGTATTTGTATCCTCAACACTTAACACAGTGCCTGGCACATAATAAGCCCTCAAATGTTCTATCTATCTAGGGAGGAAGAAGATTGGATCTCCCTATCTCACCTGAACTGGTAGTGCCATGGTCACCCAGAGGCTGATCCCAATGCTGTTCTATGTAGAACTTCATTTATTTATTTGTTTGTTTATTTATTTATTTTAGGCAATTGGGGTGAAATGACTTGCCCAGGGTCACACAGCTAGTAAGTGTCAAGTGGTTGGTCTGAGGCTGGATTTGAACTCAGGTCCTCCTGACTTCAGTGCCGGTACTCTATCCCACTGCGCCACCTAGCTGCCCCTAGAAGTTTTAACCTACTTTACTTTTCTGATTGAGGCTAGTTCACCCCTCCTTAGGCAGCTTAGTGACCCTCCACTCCCAAGGGCTCGTCACAGTGTGAACACCTGACTGGCTAGTTAATGATCCACCAGCCTTGGCCTTTCTGGGATTACAAGGGTGTGCCACTATGCCTGATTATCTATCTATCTATCTATCTATCTATCTATCTATCTATCTATCTATCTATCTATCTATCTATCTATCTATCTATCCATCTATCTAGTTTATTTACCTACCTACATATCTCTGAATCTACAACTAGAGTAGGTGAGGAGATGAGAGAAGGTGAAAAGATAAGCGCGTATATCTGTGGGATGCTTCGTAGGAACATCATGTGAATTTGGTTGTTTTGTGGAAAATGTATGACCTCAGGCATCAGGACCCTTACAATCTTGGGAGTCTTTAGTGTCTGAAGCCCAAAGAAGCCCAAAGAAGGAAGGATGATATGAAAAGGCAGCAGGAAGCAGACAAGTGACTATTGCTAAATTAGAAAAGGTTCTCAATTTTTTGATCAACTTTTTTGAAGCTCTCTTGCTCCAGTAATAATACAGAGCCAACATATTAAGACATAGTTCATACATATTGTTCTACACGATCCTAAGATTAGACAAGTAGTAACAAAAGCATGACCTTTCATTGTTTCTGGCAGTGATACTTTTTTTTTCTTTTGAAAATCTGATTAATTTCATCATGGAATCATTCAGGATTTTTCATTCATACTGTGAAACTGCAGAGGCACTGCCAAAATACAATTCTGTACCTTGGCAAGGGACCCCAACCACTTTTCTGTATGTCACTGCCAGAATGTAGGGGAAGAGAATATCCAGTATAAATAAAGAAGACCCCAAAGCTTGTGAAGCAGTCACAGATGTGGTCCTCCAGAGAATCCATCAACCTCTGCTGAGAGGATGAGAAATTAAAATGGCAAGAGTAGGGCTATTTTCTAAAGAATTTTCAAAGTCCAGCACGGACTTTTTTTTGACTTGGAAAAAGGTACTCCTATACTGGTACAACTGTCCTCACTGATAAAGCATTCATATAGAGCAGTTAGCATGGAAAGGCATACCTAAAAGTTAGGTGAATCAATCCTTGAGATCTCATATTAAAGTTTATAAGTGTTTTATATATATTATTGCATTTGATCCTTATAATAAGCTTGTCAGGAAGGTGCTTGAGTTATTACTATTCCCATTTTACAGATGAAAAAACTAAAGCTCAGAAAGGTAAGTGATTTACTTGTCCAATGTCAGTCAGCTTGTAAGTAGTGGAAGTGGGATTCGAAACCAGTTCTCTACTGACTGTAATTGAGACTTTCTACCATACCATGTGGCCAGATCCCTTCCTTAGCACACTGCAGAAGTGTAGTAAAAATTATATTACCAATTAATATATTTTATTGACAGGTACTATTACACATTTTGAATTAATGGTTATACATGAACTTATTTACAGATCTGTGAGATGGCTCACATTCTTTTTTTTTCTTTTTTAAAATAATATTTTATTTTTTTCCCAATTACATGATCTCACATTCTTTTAAGCAAAGGTGATGATCCTTTTAAATATTCCTTTAAACAAAAACGATGCTTAACATAGATTCAGAACTTTACCTTCACAGCATTAAAGAGTTTTACTTTGAACCTGTACCACTTTGCTGCTTTTAAAGAAACCTTGAGATAGCTTTAACATTTAGATTCACTCAAACTCTAAAATAATAGGCCAAAGAAAGAAAGACTTAATCCAGTCATGGAATGTGGCGTTCAAAATTCCATTAATTCATGGGAGAATATATTTTACCCCAATTGAATAAAAGTCTTTAAATTCTGGACAAGGAACTCTCAAATTGTTATGTGTTTTTTGGGCTCCATCCATGTTTAATAAGGGAACTTTAGGGAAAAGAAAAGGGCAAGAGAAGATAATTAAAAATATTTCTAATTAAGGAGGATAAATCTTGTGGTCATATAAATTTCTTGTTCAAATGTTTCCTTAAGAAATTTTCAATGAGGGGGCAGGTTGGTGGTGCAGTGGATAGAGCACCGGCCCTGGATTCAGGAGAACCTGAGTTCAAATCTGGCCTCAGACACATAACACTTACTAGCTGTGTGACCCTGGGCAAGTCACTTAACCCCACTGCCTAGCCCCCCCCCAAAAAAAAAAGAAAAGAAATTTTCAATGACACAAGTGCATGAGGTGCCTGTAAGAATAACGGTTTAAGTATGAAAAATTGTTTGATTTAAGTTGAAATGGACAAGTGACATGGTGTCAGACATATATTTGTAGCTGACTCAGAAAAGGGAAAGTGTCACTGGTCTGTCCATTTGATTGGAACAATCACAAAAATATGACAGGAGAAGGACAAATTTTAGAGTTTCTAGGACAAGGTGCATGCAGTTGTGCCATGAACAACTGTATGGCCCATATGTTTTTTAAATTACATTTATAAGATATGATCTTAGCCCATAACCAAAACCCCTCCACACCCATAGTATAGAGAAAATATCAATCACTACTGATACATAATCTCTAAGTACCAACATTTTACTTTAGGAACACACAGACTTATTAAAGGGAGCTAAGAATGTTCAGAATAGAAATACCTTTAACTTTTTGAAACTGATTAAAGTAGCTGCTATGATTAACCTGAAAGTGCTCCCTGATGCCACTTTCAAAAGAGAGAATTCTAGGAAGGATGGACTATTGCTCTAACCCAACATGGAGCCTCTTAAAACAACATTGAGCCTCTTAAATATTTTATTAATAATTTAAAAAGGTTTATAAATATCAAATATTTGTAGTTTTGAAGAATAGAGCTAAATAAAGTCAAATTAAGGGGCCTTACTATTAACGGGGTTAAGACTTACATTTTTAAGAGGTTCTAAAGTAAATCAGATCTATGTCTTGGATAAAATGAACTAAAGTCTAACTTTTAAAAATTTACCTTTCAAATCATATTGATTTTCAATGGTTTCCTGGAGTCCATTTATCACTTTCTGAAAAGTGGTACATTCTAAAAAATAAAAGTGAGAAAATTCATTTATAAACTTTTAAACTTATTTTTTGCAAGTATTTTGTTGAAATGTTTAAGAAAGAATATCTTAAGTGAAAATATTTGCTACTTAATAATCTAAATATCGCAAAGAAAATTACATATAAATGAATAAAAGACATGGCTTTTAGCCATGTATGTTCTAGTATTAAGTCAGAGGATTTCTTTTTGAAAAAAAATTCAATTTTATTTTATTTTCAGTTCCAAATTTGCTCTTTCTTCCCTCCTCCACCCCACCCATTGAGAAGGCAAGAAAAATAAAAACCATTACAAATATGTATAGACACGCAAAAAATTTTCCATATTAGCCATATTCCCTGTCCCCCCTCCCCACATGTGCACACACACAAAAGCAAGAGAAAGAAAGAAGAAAATTTGCTTTAATCCACACTCTGAATCTATCAGTTCTCTTCTTGGAGGTGGATAGCATATTTGATCATGAGTCCTTTGGAATTGTGGTTGTCATTGTGTTGATAAGTTACTAAACATTTCAAAGTTCATTATCTTTAAAATATTGTTGTTACTGTAGAAATTATTCTGGTTTTGCTCAATTCACTTTGCATCTATTCATCTAAATAGGTTTTTCTGAAACCATTCCCTTCTTCATTTCATAGCACAATAGCATTCTATCACAATATATACCATAACTTGCTCAGCCATTCGTCAACTGATGAGCATCTCCTCAGTTTAAGTTCTTTGCTACAACAAAAAAAAGCCGCTAAAATATTTTAATATATAAAATCATAAGATTTCTGAGGCATAACCTAACACAAGTTTAGTTTATAATGACACTGCCTCAGTTTATAATACTAAAACTTCAAAACAGAAAATAACTTTTGGTATTTTTAAGACTTTAAAAAGTCTTTTCTTTCTCCCTCCCTCCCTCCTTTCCTTCCTTCTTTGTCAATTTATTCCCCTAATTCAATGGCTTATATACTTTTTCAAGGTGAGGTTCTAGCACATATGGAAACTGCTGGGGTTATGGGGAGAATGAGTCAGTTCTGGACTCAAGAATAATTAAATGTAGAGGCAAAACACTAGAAAAGCATAGTATTTTAGTGTTTCAAAATGTGTAATTTTAGTACATGAACACAAGATGGACCTCCTGTAATACACTACGCTATAATGTAAACTCATACATTTCTACAGGTTTCTTAAAAAAGATACACTACAAAAAGAACACAAATTAAAGTACAACATAATTCAGGATATAAGAATTATAGCTTTGATTTTTTTCCTTGTAAATCTTAGTCTCTATAGTATTTAGGGTCAAAGTACTATTCTTGGGCCAACACCCTACCAAACTAAACTATGAATATAAAACTAGAAAGATATGTGTTGCCCTGATTGAATGGGTTAGCAACCCAGTAATTATTATGGAATAAGAAAACAAACAAATTCCAAACTAAGAGATTGTTATACTAAGTTCCTAACCAGTGTCTTGCATTTTAAATATTGGGACTTTATGTTTTCAGTAGTTTTTCAGTCCTATCTGACTCTTTGTGACCCCATTTGGGGTCTTCTTGGCAGAGATACTGGAATGGTTTGCCATTTCCTTCTCCAACTCATTTTGCAAATGAGGAACTGAGACAAACAAGTTTAAGTGACTTGTCCAGGGTCACATAGCTAGTAAGTGTCTGGGGCCAGATTTAAACTCAGGAAGATGAATCTTCCTAACTACAAGCCCAGAACTCTATCCACTGTGCCACCTCATTGCCCTAGCCAGGGTATAATTCAAAGAGTATAAAATCCTTTCACGGTGTTCTAACAGTCTGTCTTGAGATGCTAGAGAGGGTCCTGAAGATATAGTGCCCTAAACCTGGAAAATCTAGGGGAGCCTAACCCTGGGAGGCAGTGGAGATCACTGTATGAATTGAGGTTCTATTCTGAGGGTTTGTAGAAGGGAAAAGGGAAAGTAAAAGACAGAGTACACCAGAAGACAAAGGAAAAAGGGGGGAAAGCACTTGATATTTCTCATAAGTGGGGTACATGAGAATACACAAACATAGAGAAAGAGATTGGAGGAGTAGGCAACTGATGAACCTTATTCTTATCCCCAATGTACAAAGGAGGATTACACACACACACACACACACACACACACACACACACACACACAGACGGTCAGAGAGAGAGAGAGAAAGAGAGAGAGAGAGAGAGAGAGAGAGAGAGAGAGAGAGAGAGAGAGAGAGAGAGAGAGAGAGAGAGAGACTGGTCTAGAAATAGGAAAACAGGATTAGGAACTGAAGATTAAGATGGAGGACAACACTGAGGAAGGAACAGTAACAAGTAAAACAAATTTTCTGATGCCGAAGAGGGAATTATAGGGATAGAAAGGAAATAAATGAACTAGAATCTAAGGATTGCCTTTCAGACAATTGAGGAATGTCCGAACAAACTGGTATATGAATGCAATACATTCATAAAATGTGATAACATGAATATATTATGCCATTAGAAATGACAAAAGAGATGAATTCACAGAATCCTAGGTAGTATGAATTGGTGTAGATTAAAATGAACAAAACCAGGAGAACAATTTATATAAAGATAATCATGTGGTAAAGAAAAGCAACTTGGAAAAACTGAAGAATTCTGACCAAAGTAATGACTAATCATATTGCTAGAGGACTTACGATAAAGCACGTTACCCACCTCCCGACAGATGTGAGAGATGCAAAGTGCAAAGACATACGTTTTTTGACTTTTGGACATAATTACTATGTAGATTTATTTTGCCTGAATATGTTTATTTATTATAAAAGTATTTTTTCCCCTTTCTTTTTCTTGATTAATTGGAGGGGAAAGGGTCAGTCACAGTAATGTCAAAATGAATATTTTAATAATACATAGAATAGAATTAGGTATTTAATTTCAAACTAAAAATAAAATCTACTGAAACAAAATTACCTTTGGAAGTGCAAAAACTTTTGATTAAAAGTTTCCAAGCATAATGAAAAGACAGATTTCTTCTCTTTTGTATCATACATGAATTCAACAAATCACAGCAGTCCTAACAGCAGAAATAAATGGACTGTTACTTTGTTGACTGGGATTATGCTTTTCCTAGGAGAAACATTTCTGTAAAGGCCTCAGCTCCAGATGATGGTTGTCAAGAGAATTCCTCATCAGGTGTCAGTGGGCAGAATAAATTACTTGGTAACTAATGGATTTGGTCAGTGTATCCATATCCCAACATAATTACATCTAACTCAGTGACCCTTAGCATCTGATGGAGCTTCTTTTCTGCACCTAGACTTCTATGAGTATGAATATAAAATTGAGATTCTTCTTGCTCCAGCTTTGGGGTTCAAGGGTCATATCAGTTTCCTCCTTCTGATTCCTTTCAGTGTGAGTATAAAACAAATTCAATTCAATTTAATGCAACAAGCTTTTGTTAACTACCTACAATGTGCCAGGCACTTAGATTACCAGTGAGAATCTTTCTGAAGCATTCACACACACCCCTCACTCCCATGGTATGACTCTATCCATTGGAAATTTTACCTTTATGCTTATGAAAGATATAAAAGCAGTATTGCTTAAACAAGTACTATCTGCCTCTGGTACTGGAAGTGACATGGTTGGATTAACCAGGTTTCCCTTTCTCCCTCTTTCCTTTTTTATCTCCCTCCCACCTCTCCAGGCAACGAGGGACTTTCTGACCAGCTTCCTACTCCCTTATCTCATATTTGCTATTTGTTGAGATCATGACCTAAAGGTTGTAGAGTAGGCCAGGTTTCCTATATGTATCTCAACAAAAGAGTATCAAAAGATAACAGAATTAAATTTCCTCTTTCAGTTAAGAACTACTTTAAAAGATAGGAATCCAGCAGAATGAGAGATAGTTGGCACAAGGAAAACCAGTCTAAACCTAAGAAATTATAAGATGCTTGTAAATGCTGAATAAGGAGCCATGCCAAGAAAAGTATGAGTAAACAGAAGACAGCAAACATAAAGAAGGAAAATATTAATAAACAGAAGACATCAAAAATGATAAAGACATGCTGTAGATTCAGAGAAATGCAAAAGGTAATCTGAGGTGAAAAAGACAACACGTGTGTAAGCATGTAGAGGAAAAAATTGCTTGGTCACAAGGATTATAAGAATGACGATGAGAAGAAGTGAAGCAAATGATAAAAAAATTAGAATTTAAGTAATTTTAGTGGGAAAAAATGGATAAGACTAAATACCTTAGAACAAAAAACTAGAAAAACCCAACTTATGTACACCCTGAAAGCTAAAATGAAGAATTCAGAACTCAATGCCTTCATGAAATAATAAGAAATATTAGAACAAAATCAAAAGATTGAAAATGCACAGTATCTACCATCAAAAACAACTGACCTGGAAAATACACCAAGAAGAGACAATTTAAGAATCACTCGACTCCCTGAAAATCATGGCTGAACAAAAAAAAACCCAATCTCCTTTAAATGAAGCGAATATGGTCGTGATATTTAAACCAATGAAAGATAAAGCAGAGAATAAAGAAAAAGTAAAGAAAACTATAAACCAATATCTCCAATGAATATTGATACAAAATGCTGAATAAAATATTAACAGAGGATACAACAACATACTAAATATATACTATGATCAAGCTGAAATCATACTAGGAATTCAGGGTTAATTCAAAATTAGGAGTACTATAAATAGAAAAGACCATATTATTACTAATAAAAACAAGAAAAATCACAATTGTGTAAACAAATGCTGAAAAGGGTTTTGAGAAAACACATCCTTTTATGTAAAAGAGTTTTTAAAAAGTATACCAACAAAAGGACCCTTAATGTCAAAATGATAAGTATTTAAAACCAAAAGCCAGTAATTTTTTTGTCATGGAGAAAAGCTAGAGGCCTTTTTAATAAGCTTGGGAGTGAATTAAAGACATCTTCTGTTACCACTATTATTTTATATAGTTCTGACAATCCTAGCTACAGCAATAATACAAGAAAAAGAACTGGAGTGGGAAAAGAAATGAAGCAAGAAGACCAACCAGCAGGTCACCATAACAGTCCAGAAGTGAGGTAATGAGGGTCACTATCATGGTGGTGGCAATGTCAGATGAAAGAAGGAGCCATATATTATGGATGTTACAAAGGTAGAAATGACAGGACTTGGCTACTGATTGGATATAGGGAGTAAGTGTGAGTGAGGAATCAAGGATGACACCAGGTTGGAAGCCTGGTAAATAGGTGTATGATGCTGCCTACAACAATAATGAGGAAGTTAGGAAGAGGGGACAGTTTGGGGAAAAGATGATGAGTTCAGTTTTAGGGGAATTAGGTAGCACAGTAGATAGAGTACTGGGCCAGAGTCAGGAAGACCTGAGTTCAAATCTGGCATTAGATACTAGCTGGGTGATCCTGGGCAAGTCACTTAATCTGTTTGCCTCAGTTTCCTCATCTGTAGAATGGCAATAATAATAGCATCTACTTCCCAGGGCTCTTTTCAGGATCAAGTGAGATAACGATTGTAAAGTGTTGACACGGTGCCTGGCACATACTGAGCATTATACAAACATTAGCTATTATTGCTATTGTTATTAAGTTTGAGATATCTACAAGACATCCAGTTTGAGATGTCAACAGGCATCAGCAGATGTGAGCCTGGAGATCAGGAGAGAGGGTAAGGCTGGATAAATAGATCTGAGAATCTAACAAACATCTACATATGAAATAAATCATCAGTCTTTTTGTATATTGCCAACAAAACCCAGGAGGAAGAGATTTTTAAAAAGCAATTCTTTTCAAAATAACGGCAGAATGTATAAAATATCTGGGAATTAAATTATCAAAACACATAGTAGTTATACAGGTACAACTACAAATGAGTCTTTACAAAAATAAAGATATAATTAAATAATTAAAGAGATGTTAATTGTCATGGGTATGTTGTGCTAATATAATAAAAATGATAGTACCACCTAAATTCACTGACATATTCAGGGCCATATTGATCAAACTACCAAAGGCATATTTTATAAAACTAGAAAAAAAGGACAAAATTCATCTGAACAAAATGTCAAGAATCTCAATAATTTTTAAAACTGGGAAAGAAGAGAGCCTGGCAGATCTCAAACAATACTAGAAAGTAGTAATCATCAAAACTATTCAGTACTGGTTCAAAAATAGAAAAGTTGATCAGTGGAACAAATTAGGGAGGTCCTCAAGGCCCAAAAATAATTGATCAGAATAGGAGAATGTTCAATAAAACCAAGGACTGTAGCTCTTGGGATAAGGACTCTATCTCATTACTTGACAAAAACTTTTAGGAAAAATGGAAAGCAGTCTGGCAAAAATCTGGGTTACATCAGAGTCTCATTATATATTCTACAATAAACTCCAAATAGATAAATGACCTAAATATAAAAGGTCATGTCATATGCATGTAACATATATGACAGGTCTTCCCTATTAAAATGTAAGCTCCTTGTGAACAGAGCTAATTTTACTCCTTGACCTTGTATCTCTAGCACATAGTAAGTACTTAATGAACACTTGTGTGATTGATTGCTCAATCACAACTTTGGAAGACTGACAGTGAAACATGTTTCCTACTCCTTGGCAGGGATGTAAGGCAGTAAAAGATTTGCAGACTCAGCCAATGCACAGATTTGTTTTGTTTAACTCTGTTTATTTATTTTAAGGGAGAGCTTTTTTAAAATGGGGGGTGGTTGAAAATTTAGGGATGGGTTTAGGAAGATTTCAAAAGTGATACTATAAAAAGGAAGGAAGAGAGAAAAGAGTATCAATGAAACATTTAAAATACACAGAACAGAGCAGAGGGAAGTGTAGAAGGTGACAGAGACAAATAGTATTGGAACTACTATGTTAAATTTAACATACATTTGAAAAAACAATTTCTAAGTCATGGAGTTTCATAATGTCATATACAATCTTCTTTTTCCATTCTTCTTTATATAATGAAATGTTTATGGCTGTTGATGTTGGTCAAATTCATACTAATAAGAAATTAAAAAGCAGTGTTTGCTTTTCCCAATCTTATTTATATTACCACAATGTTCGGAAATCCCAAAAAGTTATTTTCCCAATATTTTAACTCAAGTTTTACAGCAGTAAATTAGAAACTCCTACAGGTATCTTGGTTCCAAAAAACAAATGGAAAGGAAACTTTTACCTGGGGTTACTGAGCAGAAATAAGTGAGCTGATAATGAATGGATTTGACTAGTGTGGCAAAATTCCAAAATATTTTTGTGCCTAATTTAATATACATTAGTATTGGGAGTTTAATGTAGACATTAACAAACATTGAAAAATACATTTATGAAACCCATAACTTCAATACTTACAGCATTTTTCTTAAATCACAGGTCCAACCACATTCTTCCCCACCCTCACCACCCAAACCCTACCCCACTCTGCCCTCAGTAAATTTAAGTGGCTCCTTGATTGCTTCCAAGATCAGCTACAAAATCCTGCATCGTGTTGAAAACCCTTCATAACCTAGCTCCTCTCCACCTTTTTAGTCTTCTTATACCTCACTCTCCACCATGCACTCTTCAATGCAGGAACATCAGCCTCCTGGCAGCTCTGTGAACGTGACACTCTATTATTCTGGCTCAGCATTTTCTCTGGAATTTCATGGTTGGAATGCTGTCCCTCACCAGCTCTACTTACTGGCTTCCTTTCAGTTCTAAATAAAATCTCATCTTCTAAAGGAAGCCCTTCTCAACATCTTTGAATTCTAGAGCCTTGCGTCTTTTAACTACTTCCTATTTATCTTGAATATAGCTTCTTTGTACATATTTGCTTGCTTATTGTCTCCCCTGTTAGATACTGACTTCTTTGAGGGTAAGAGCTGTCTTTCTTTTCTTTTTTTTTGTTTTTGCTTTTTGGTGAGGCAATCGGGGTTAAGTGACTTGGCCAGGGTCATACAGCTAGTAAGTGTTATGTGTCTGAGGCCAGATTTGAACTCAGGTCCTCCTGACTCCAAGGTTGAAGCTCTACCCACTGTACCACCTCACTCCCCCAAGAACTGTCTTTCTTTTTTCATATTTGTATCCCCAGTGCTTAGCACAGTGTCTGGCACATAGTAGGTACTAAATAAAGTTTACTGACTATTATTATTAACTTTGTCTTTCTCTATAAAATTTAAGGGAAAAAAGGAAGTAGAACATGTAGGAAGTGGGTTTTGTTTGTTTGACTTCCTGTTAGTTTCCTCCTTATTAACAGTAAATATCTTTTTAGAAATATCAAAAGGATTGTATGCTGCATTCTCTTTTGGAAGGGGCCAATGAAAGGAAAAAAGAAACAGAATAAGTGGAAAACTGATCTTGATGCAGACTGGTTAGAATGCATCCCTTCCCTTAGAAAAAGAAGGGCCAACAGGTGGACCAAAATAGCTAGAAGAGTAGATAAGTCTTAAAGTGCAGCCCCTGACACAAAAGGAAATCCACTGATTCCAATGTTTATCCTTATTTGATATACTCATGATTGGCGGATCAAAGGAACCTGGGAGTCACCTTACCCTAGATAGATGGATTTTAAAAGGTTGTAGCTTCTTTTGGCTACCTCTGTACAAAACCACACAACCCCCACACTCTTCAGGACATTCCAAATCAGTTTAGTCTGCACAGAATCAATTTCCTGGGTTGCAATTAGATGTATGACTTTGTTTTCCAGAACCAGACCAAGACTGGAGCCCAAAGGTGGTGGTGAGGTAAAAATATATGTCTTTTTGCAACTTTTTATGGAACTGAGTGGTTTATCAGTGCTTTATACGCCATTAATAAATCCTCTAGTTTAACTAGAGTTGGGTATGACTTTCTGTTCCCTGAGATGTAGAACCAGATTAATGCATCTCACATCATATTTTTTTTTGTCCCAAATAGTTTCATCACAGAATTTCCTTGTCGATCTAATTATGCATTACTTTAGGCTGTTTCCAAAAATTGTGTCTATTTTCAAAGTATGAATATTGACTACCGATTAGGATATTCAAGAGAATGTATTATGGGCTCTAAAGACAATTCCAAAAATATTTTGAGCAATGATGGCATCATTGGAGTAATGTATTAACTTTCCAAAAATGAATAACCTAAAGGGGACCACACTCATAGAGATGTACAAGTACCAGCATGTTTGCAAAACATCAGTACTGTTATTTGACATTCACTCCTTGCCATAAACTGTATATATGAGTGATTTCAAAGAAACTCCATTTCACATATCCTATGTGTTACATCCTTCTATTTATAAATCTTGCAGTGCCCTGCTACTGGCTCCTATTTAGCTTGTGGTCCATCATAATTCTCTTATCTTCCTAAATGACTTATCTCACACTTGACCTCTACAACTAGTCATGCTTATTCTCCACTCAACTTTTATTTGATTATCAGCAAATTTAATAAGTATGTCAGAAAGAATTTGCTTATGGAAACAACTTCTTACCTTCTTTAATGAAGTTTTCTTTGGTTTGCATCAATTTTAGCAAAGAGTTAGTCTTTTCCAACTGAATATCTAATTTATTATTCTTTGAACTGATTTCTGACATTCTCTGTGGAAAACATAATATATTTAGTTTAATGACAAGTCAAAATTATATTTTAATTCTTTTACCTTAAGCAAGATGCTTCTTGGGGTTTTCAGAAATGAGGACTTGATACTAAACACTAAATAGTGAAAGGACTATGTAAAGGCTATATGTTCTACAGCTGACTAGATTGTCAATATTTATACAACCCATTTTTACCAAAGCTACATTCTTAAAACTTTTATCCGTAACACTTAAGATAATACAAGCTATCTTCAGCAAAACACACTCAAGACACAAATTTCTAGAAAAATCTATATAAAAATGAGCAGTCTTGAATTTCAACAATAATAGAAGGAAAAGAGAAGATCAGGGAATGAGAAGAAAGTGTGATAACTGGGAAAGAGAAAGGGAAGATGAAAAGGAAAAAGAGAGTGGCAAATGAAAAGGACCACAAGGTTATGACCTAGAAGGATCTTGAGAGGTTACCTAGTCTAACTTGCTCCCTCACTCTAATCCTTCATTCTAATAGAAGAGAAAAATGAGGCTTGGCGAAATTAAAAGACATTTCCTAGGTCACATGTGCCAGAGCTTGGGCAGGTATTCATATCTCTATTCTCTTAGTCTGTGTTCTTTCTATTATATTACCTAGACTTCCAAGTAAATTTAAAAAAATGGAAAAAATAAGAAAGTGTAAGAGTCAGATAGAAGGCCAAATGGTTGATCTTAAAGCATTTCTTACTCGACCAATGCCCAAGTTCAAGCACATTTCAGGCTTGTATTTCTCCTTTTCCTTTTCACATTCCCTTCTCCATCCATTCCACAGTTCCCTTTTTATCCTTTAATCTAAACACCACTGCTTGGTACTTCTACATACCTTTTCTATTTGTGAGAAGTCATTTATAAGTTTGTCAAGATTCACCATGCTTGTTTTTTTCACAGCTGCTTCACCAGTTTCACTCATATTTCTAGAAAAGAGAATAATATTTAATGTAAAAGAGTAAAAAACTACAGAAAAGAAATCCCACTCTCCTATTAGCACATCACTAGAACACAGTAGTTAATGAAATTAGCTGTTACGTTAGGAGCCTCAGAAGGCCCTTGGGGTGGAGGAGAAAGAAAAAGAGGTGATGAAGGAAGACCTGATCATGATAGCTTACAATTATACTGCATTATTAGGTTTGCTTTTATTCTTTAGATTTTAAAAGACTTTTTCCCTTTTTTATTATTAACTTAATAATCAACACAAATATTTCTGCACATGAAAATGTTCTTGTACATAACATTAAAAAATTGTTATATTTAACAAGTAACAAAATTACTTTGTGTCCTCCCCTGAACTGTTTTCTTCTTTGTGATTTTATTTTTTAGCTTTTATTTAGCATTTTATTTTTACCCAGTTACATGTAACAACAATTTTTAACATTCATTTTTAAAACTTTGAGTTCCAAATTCTCTCCTTCCTCCCTCCCTACCCCCCTTCATTGAGAAGGCAAGCAATTTGTTATAGGTTATACATATGTAGTCATGCAAAATATATCCATAATAGTCATGTTGTGAAAGAAAATATAGACCAAAAAAAAAACCCTCAAGAAAAATAAATTAAAAAAAAGTATGCTTCAATCTACATTTAGACACCATCAGTTCTTTCTCTGGGGATGGATAGCATTTTTCATCATAAGTCCTTCAGAACTGTCTTGGATGATTGTATTGCTGAGAACAGCTAAGTCATTCACAACTGATCATCTTATAATATTGTTGTTACTTTGTACATAGTACATTTCACTTTGCATCAGTCTTTCACTTTGCAAGTCTTTCCAGGTTTTTCTGAGAGTATCTTGCTCATCATTTCTTATAGTATGATGGTATTCCATCATAATTCCATCATACCATGACTTGTTCAGTCATTCCCCAACTGATGGGCTTCACCTCAACTTCTAATTCTTTACCCTCAGAAAAGAAGTGCTATGAATATATATATATATATGTGTGTGTGTGTGTGTGTGTGTGTATATCTATATCTATATATCTATCTCACAAAAAAAACCCAAAAGGAAAAGGAGCTGTATGTATATATATCTATATATATGTACACACATACACACACACACACACACACACATATACACAGGTTCTTTTCCTTTTTAAAAATGTTAAAAATATTTATAATTATAAATTATTAATAAATATTTATAATTATAAATAACAAAATTTTTTTGCATATATATATCTCCTTTTCATTTTTGTTTTTTTTTATCACCTTTGGGATACAGACCCAGTATGGGTATTGCTAGGTCAAAGGGTATGCATGGTTTTATAGTCCTTTGGGCATAGTTCCAAATTGCTCTACAGAATGGTTGAATCAGTTCACAAGTCCACCAACAGTGCATTTAAGTCTCATTTTCCCCACATCCTCTCCAACATTTGTCATTTACCTTTTCTGTGCTATTAGCCAATCTAATAGGTATGAGGTAGTACCTCAGAATTGTTTTAATTTGCATTTCTCCAATCAACAGTGAGAGCATTTTTCCATACGGCTATAGATTTTCTTTATGATTTAAATTGCTCTTCACTTTCCATTCATTCACTCATTTACTTAGTAATTTATTTATTTATTTGTTCATTCATTCTTTCAGCATCTCTATAACAACCACCAAAAATAGCCTTGCTGCTTCAGCTACTATGGCTTCCTTGCCTTATAGGTGGCAATTGGTGTACAGTTGATGGAGACAGTTGGCCCTTCTCTAAAGGAGTTGTTTCCCAGGATGGTGACTGAATTACAAGCAGGACCAATGGGGATGGCAGTTTTCAAGGCTCTTAGGTTCAGGATCCTTGGGGTCTCTATCCAGGTCTTAGGGAAGGTGATGGTGGTTTGATTCCCCTGGCACAAGCTGTCTCCTGACTTTCTCTTGGGGTCCTTTGAGAATTGCAGTGTCCTCTAGACCACTGGTGCTGTTTTCTGCCCAACCCCTACAGCCATCAATAAGGAGAGAAATCACAGTGGAGAAATAGCCCATTCTTCCTTACCACTACCACCAAATGCTGATCGACTGCCACCTGAACAGGCTTGGATAAGCCCAAGGATCCTGGAAATGGCAGCATCCCACAGACCACTCATCCTGCAGATCTTACAATCATTATCCTGGGAAGCAACCTCTGTGAAAATACAGCCTGGCAACTGCTTCTGTGGGTGCTGCAACCACAGCTAAGAACCAGAAAAGAAAGTCCTTCCTGTCAACTCACTGGCACTGTCAAAAATGGTTCACCACCAGGGAGCATTCGGCCATGGCTGTCCTGTTGCTCCCCACAAAGGCAGAAATCACAATTACCCTGGAGACAGTGTCAGATTCTAGGTCAGGCATCTATCTATCCATGTCATGTGCAGGTCAGGCAATCTACGTTAGATGGTTATTTATATCACTTTATCTATTTTTTCCTGGAGTCACCTACGCTGGCCATAGTTCTTAATTTCTCCATCATTTCTTCATTTGTCATCTTGGTGGTCTTTTTCTTTTTGTCTGAAGACCTGGAAGCATTATCAATGTTAGACTCACCAGCTGGTTCAGGAACAAGATTAATCCCTTCATCACTGTTTTCTGTTAGTGTTGCTCAAATTTCTAAGCCTTTTGCATTCAGGGCTGGAATTTATGAGGGAAAGATGTCTTTCTCAGGAAAAGCAAAGCTTAAATACTTGTTTGTGTGTGTTGGAGTCAAAGAACTTGGGAGTATCCAGCACAGTCTAGCAGTTCAATTTTTGTCCTACCTTAGTGATACTGGAGTGATACTAGAGCAATGGAGTCCCCTGTTCCAGAATCCCAGTGAATTCTTCAGTAAAGTATTGAAGCCAATATGGTTACTGTCTTAAAAATCAGACATTGAGAGAAATTTTTAGTCATTCCTTTAATTTTTTCTTATTTCCTATGCCTGAGAACATAGAGGATTTTATGCTAAGGCTTTCTTTTCTCTGAACAGAGGGCAAAGGTATCAAACCATGAATGGCCAACAAAAGGTCTTTAACCTCCAGTGCTAAGAGCTCTAGTGTTGAAACAGATGTGAGGAACTGGTGGCTTGTACTTTGGTTTGCCATTATCAAATGGTAAATCAGCATGATCATACAAAAGTCCCAGCCACTAATGAGTCCCCACCTCCTGTGGGTCACCTTGTTCTCCCTCTGGCTAGACCATGCCAGTCTATTCAAAAAAATCTTGTGACTCCCTATAATTTCCAGGAACAAATACAAAATTCTGACTAGTGTTCAATGCTCTTCATGATGTAGCCACCTCCTATCTTTCATACTCTTCTAGAGACACTGGCCTCCTGGCTTTCATAAGACACCTCATCTCTTGGCTCCCAGCATTTCCCCCATGCCTGGAATACTCTCCCTTCTCCACTCTGATTACTGACCTCCCTGACTTCCATAAGTCTCAGTCAAAATCCTATCTACTACAACCCTTAATTGTAGTATCTTCCCTTCTAACATTATTTCGTATTTATCCTATACATATTTGTACACATTTGTTTGCCTGTTGTCCACTCTTTTAGACTGTAAGCTCCTTCAGGACAGGAACTGTCTTTTGCCTCTTTTTGTTTCCCCAACACTTAGCACTGTCTGGCACATGTTGTTGGTCAGTCATTTTCAGCTGTGTCTGACCCTTTGTGATCCCATTTGGGGTTTTCTTGGCAAAGACACTAGAGTGGTTTGCCATTTCCTTCTCCAGTTCAGTTTATAGATGAGGATACTCATGTTTACTCATGTGGCAGACAGGGTTAAGTGACTTGCCCAGAATCACATAGCTGGTAAGTGTCTGAGGCCAGATCTTAACTCAGGAAAATAAGCCTTCCTGACTCCAGGCGTGGCACTATCTACTGTGCCACCTAGCTACCTGGCCCATAGTAGGCACTTAATCAGTGTTTAATGACCGACCATGCCTCCCAGCCCTAGAGCCACAATGGTGGGAGCACAATAAAATAAACTTTGTCAAAAACTATTTTTTTTCTCCAAGGAGAATTTATGAGCCATCCTGCTATTTAGCTGCAATTTCCTATTGTTTCCTGGTTTCATTCATAGTGTAAATAGCAGGATTGATCTGAGTCAAACCTCCAGTGGAACATCTCCAGAATTGTCCTCCAGTACCTACTTGTCGCCTAGATAATGACCTCACACATAGAGCAGCAGTAATGAGGTCAGCTTTTACAGAGGGTTTAAAGACCACAAAATTCTTTGTATACTATACCCCCTTTTCTACTCCTTTGCCACCATTACTCCACAAGTGGAAAGGGGATGCACAGTACAAGGGAATAATACATGGTTTTCTCTGAATTCACAGGTTGTCATAGCCAGAGAACTCATCTCCAAGTGGGAAACACACAGATGACAAGAATCTCTACACTTAGACTGGTCCTCAGAAATCAGGCATAGTCTGCTTCCAGGACTACAGCCTGCAATCCATTAACACAGCCTTGCAGAACCTAGGGTCAATTCCATGTCCTGATGAGTAATCAGAGAAGAGCCTTCACAGATTAGTTTTTATTTGATATGGAAGATCCTTCTTATTCAATTTAGAGAGCGAAACAGAAATTATTAATCAAGTGGGATTATTCTTGAAATATGAAAGACAGCAATATCCCAGTTATATTTTAATTTACAGGAAAATGACTAAAAAGAAATATTTGGAACATTTTGCTACCATCCTTGTTTAAAAAAACTATACAAGAAAAGAAACTCGATACTTTAATATTACCTTTTTTCTTTTTTAAAATAAATATTTTATCGATGCTCTTAAACAAAACAAAATAAAACTTTGCTGTCCCATCTCCCAACCCCTCCACACACACACACACAGACACACACACACACACACACACACACACACACACACAGAACCCTCCCTGGTGACAAAGATGTACAGTTAAGCCAAAAAAAAAAAAAGAAAATCAAAACAAGGATTGTGCCTCATTCAACAACTACAGTTCAAGATCTTCTTACTGAGAAGAGGGAGGCACTTCATTGAAAGTCCTCCATGATTGATCATTGTTCTGATAAGAGTTCTGAAGTCTTTCAATATTGCATTCTTTTACTTTATTGTGGACATAATGTAAATTGTTCTCCTGATCTGCTTAATTAATTCTGAACCAGTACCTACTGTCTTCCTAAGTTTCTCTGAATTTTAGTATTTGACATTTCTTACTGGGCAGTAACATTTTATAATATTAACATACCACAGTTCTACAACTTGTTCAACCATTCCCCAATCACTGGTCATGATTTTGTTTCTAGTTCTTTATTAAAACGGTCCCTTTTCGTGTTTGACTCATTTTATTAATGCCATTAATGAACTAGATTTTAAGAACTTTACTGTGAAATAAGCAAGAAAGAAAGAAAGGAGAAAAAGGCAGGAAAGAAAGAAGGAAGAAAAGAAGGAAAGGAGGATGGAAGAAAGAAACTATTCACCTTTTGTGGAAGTTTACCTCTTTTTATCTACCTTTCCTCTGCTAACTCAGAGAGCCTCATGCTAGGAAACATACACCCAGTTTCCCAATATCTCCAACAGGTTAAGGCTATAAAATTGTGTGGGATTGTGTAGGGATGGGGGACACAGGAGATGAGAGAAGCACTTAGTGTCAATATTTCTTTTTACTTTATGAACTCACAGAACAGAAGAAAAGTTCAAGACATGGAAGAAATGGTAATTATATATGTTTAAACAAGATAATTTTAATTTCCTTTCATAAATTCTTTTCTTCTGTCTTTGTAAGAAGTCTGTGTTGAAGGGACCTTAGACTAGATAAACGTCTACTTATACCAGTATCTGATCAAGATTCCCCTACTATAACACGCCTGACGAATAGAAAACACACTTTGCTTGAAGACTTCTAGTGGAGAGACTTGGCCAGATGACAGTGAGATGTTTTGTCTAACTACAGCCCCTTACCACCACTTCAAAACAGTAAAAAATGAGCCATATAAAGAATGACAATAAGAAAGGGGGAAAAATTACAACAAAGTGATCACTGCTGCCTGCAGGGGTGGTCTATACATTAGCCTGATCTCCCAGGGGCTATTGCTACACAGGCAGTTACTTCCGAATCTCCATTTGGCAGCATGCCAGCCAGATGCCACCTTCACCCCTGAGCAAACTGAAGACCATAAACATGATCTTCTTCCTGGTCTTTGCTGCTTTGCTTCTTTCAAGTCTCAGCTAAAATCCAACCTTTCCAAGTCTCCCTTAATGCTAGCGCCTTCTCTGGAGATCATCTCCAATTTATTCTGCATCTATCTTGTTTGCACAGAGCTCTTTGCATGTTATCTCCCCATTCAACTGTAAGCTCTATGAGGATAGAGGCTGCTGTTGCCTTTCTTTGTATCCCCAGCACTTAGCACAGTGACTGGCACATAGGAGTTAATTAACAAGCCCTTGTTGACTTGATCAGCACCAGGGATCAGGTAGAGTGGGCAGCTACTATTGCACTTACTGCCTGAGATGACCCCCCCCACTCTACCCCTCCCCAATAAAAATGTCTAAAGAATCGGTGACGTCATCAGTATAGATGATTAATAGCCTCAGCAAGTGGTAGGGTACAATATAAATCCACCAAAATTATTAGCATTTAAGTATATCATTAACAAAAAACAATATGAAATGAATCAGCAAAGGTCTCATGGTATAATCTAAATTAATTAAAAGTGCTCTAAGTAACTAAGGAGTTACTTCATAGAACTAGGAAAAATAACACCGAAATTTAAGGAAATAAAAATTCAAGAATTAAAAAAATTTTTTTCAAAAAAAATAAAAGTAGAACTGCAGGAGAAAGGTATAAATTTCAACCTATAAGACTGTTATCATCAAAACTATTTCATCCTGGGGACAGCAACACCACCAAAACCAAGACTGAAGAGAGTAGGAGGCTGATGTTAAGATATCCAACAATATGTAATGAAAAACTTCCTTAACATCTAAGTTGATGATGCTAATTTATTAGCAAAGGCTTATTGTTCCTGACAACCCTCTACATAAGGAAGCCTTCAGAATAGAAGCCATTTTCCCAGGAGAGAATTCATTCAAACCATTTAGCATCACATTTAAAACAAAAATCTAACACTCCAACACTGATGAAAAAGGGCAGTTGTATCTGCCAGTAATTAGCGCTGAAAACTAGTCATCACTTCAAACTAACTAGTCATCCCCTCAAAGCACCGATGAATGAACTCCTCCTGTCCCTTAGCATGACCACCCACTTTGGTTTGACCAAGCTGAAGAAAACTCTAAGGACCATAAAAAATTCTATAAGAGCTCTGAAGAGTTTGTAAAAAAATATGTAGAAAAGCACTAGTGGGTGAAAATATTCCATGATTAATTCAACAAGTGTGACAGAACACCCAGAGAAATGTATTTCAAATCCTCTGCAAAGCAAGACTCTTTGGAAAATTGACAGGTGACACTACCTAGTGTTACGTTACCTTGTGGGAGATATTAGCTTTTGACAGTTTCCTTAATAAAAATGGTTGAGATAAACCAGTAAATGAGTGTTAAAAAATAATTAAGACGTTCTAATTTGGCTTTGTGTTATAAAATGTTTCAATTTCTCTTAAAGGATGGCATGTTCTTTTTTTTCGCCCAAATTTATCCCAAATCATTCATTTCTCTTCAGCTTAAAAAAAATTTAGTGAGTGGCACTATCTGTACTCCACTATGAAGGACCTACTTTACTACAATCATTTTGTTTTTATTCCAATCCACTTAGCCAGCTCTCACCTCTCTACTGATCTGCAGTTTTACATATCTAAATGCCCATTAGACACCTTAAACTAGATGTCCTATTCACATTTAAACTCAACATAACCCAAACTGAATTCATTATCTTTCCCCCCCAAACAAATCCTCCCTTCTTCCTAAGTTCTCTACTACTGTCAAGGATACTACTATCCTCTCAATCAACCACGCATGAAAACTAGGTGTCATCCTAGACTCCTCATTCTCTCTCACCCCTCATATCCAATCTGTTGCCAAGGCCTGTCAGTTTCACCCCTCCTTGTGCCATCTCCCAAATAGGCCTCCTTTTGTCCTCTGACACTGCCACCACCCTGTGAAGGCCCTAGTCATCTGATACCTAGACCATTGCAATAGCCTGCTGGTAGGTCTGCCTGTTAGAAATCTTTTCCCACTCCAAACCATCCTCCACTTGGCCACCAAAGTGAGATTCCTAAAGTATAGGTCTGACCAAGTCACCCCCTCCAAATTCCTCCCGCTGTGCACAGATACATACTCAGTAAACTCCAGTGCCTTTCTATGCCTCAGAGATCAAATATAAAATTGTTTCAGGTGGCTAGGTGGTACAGTGGTTAGAGAGCACTGGAGTCAGGAGGATCTGAGGTCAAATGTGGCCTCAGATACTTGACACTAGCTGTGTGACCAGGGCAAGTCACTTAACCCCATTGCCTAGCACCCCCCCCAATTATTAAAATTAAGTTTCCTATTCAAAGCCTTCCATAAACTGGCCTCCCTACTTTTTCAGTCTTCTTATACCTTACACTACATGGCCTATACTAGGGTGGTGGCAGTTTCAGAGGAGAGAACAGGATACATGAGAGAGTGTTCTGGAAGGGATAGTATTTTTGGCATGGAAAGTGATCAGAGTGGGCAGTGTAAAAAAAACAAATAACATTAATAATGTTTTTTAAGGCAGTTAGGTGGCTCAGTAGATAGAGAGCGGGACTTTACCTTATAAGATTGTGAGCTCTTTGAGATCAGGGACTATCTTTTGCCTTTCTCTGTATGTATCCCCAGTACTTAGGACAGCAACTGGCATATAGTAGGAGCTTGATAAATGTTTATTGACTGACAAGACTTGGAATCAGGAAGACCTGAGTCTGAACCTAAGCCTTAGATTCTTACTAGCTCTGTGACTCTGGGTAAATCACTTCAGCATCTGTTTTTTCACTTGCAAAATAGAGATAGCAGCAGTATTGGGGGAAACTATGGAGAGCTGTAGGGTGAGCTGTGGGGCCTGGAATCAGGAAGACCTTAGTTCAAAGCCTGCCTCAGACACATACAAGCCATGTGTTAAGCGACCCTAGACGAGTTGCTTAACCTCTATTTGCCCCATTTCCTCATCTGTAAAATGGGGATAATCACAGCACACACTTTGCAGAGTTGTGAGGATCAAATATTTGTAAAATGCTCTGCAAAGTGCCTGGCAAGCACTAGTATAAATTAGTATAAATGCTAATTATTATTATTAATTACTATTAGCAGGGTTGCAGAGAGAATTAAATTTAATAACAGTTGTAAAACGCTTAGCAAAGTACCTGGAGAGCAATGGGCACTATATAAATCCTAATTATTATCATTATTACTATTAGCAGCGGTCAACATGCTAATCAAACGAGAGAAAACAGACAAATTGCTCCGCAGACCTGAGGTGCTACATAAATAAACCCATCATCACTATTTTAAAGGGATTACTGCTGGGGTGGGCGAGGGGTCCTCCAACATGGGGCCCATGATGACGTCACCACACGTCACACCCACAGCTTCCAGTTGTGCCTTGGGCTCCGACCCTTGGGCGGGGGCCCCTGGGGTCTTCCCTGCTTCTTAGTAAACTTCCGCAGTCCTTTTAGGGGCCCCTCTCCAGCCCGGGTGCCCCCACCCCCGCCCCAGCCAGTCGTGGTCAGTTATTGAGCAGCTGGGGGACACTCTCACCTGCTCCCCTCCCTCCTCTCAGACCGCCCGGGGCGCCCCGGTTCCGGGTCCGTCCTAGCTCTGAGATCCCCCTCCCCAGATCCCCGACCTCCCAAAGACAGGTTCCGTCGTCACTTGGTTCCGCCCTCCTGTCCTTCCCCACTCCTATCATTGCTTACTCTTCATCCCATTACTCCGCCTGTTCTTCCTCTTTTAGGCAGGATGCTTAGAGCTCGATATTGTCTATTCAACTGCCTCCAAGGAGGTGAACTGACCCTGCCATGGTCACCCAGGTCAATAAGAGGCGAGGGCCCAGGGTCAGCGACAGCATGATGCAGTGCTCCCTGCTTGACCTTCGGGCGAAAGTCTTTTCACTTCTCTGGGACTCAGTGTCTTTATCTGTAAAATGGGCTAGAAGGATCTCTAAGGTGGCTTCTAGTTGTAACCCATGGTCCTGTGACTCCAAATTTTATGGTCTTTGAGGAGGGCTTTTCTGCCTAACCAGCTTCTTCACCCCCATTTTCTTCTCCCACTTTCTCCTGCTTCTTATGCATCACCTCCAGGGCATTTACTAGGGTGCTCTGCAGAAAGCAATTACTTTGTTCAGCATGTATTGTTTATGGCATGATTGATGAATCTCTTTATTTTACATTATAATTGAAGGTTTCAATGATTTATTTTATTAATGATGTTTCATATTATTTTCAATACCTAAAAATGTTTTAACTAGTTTAAGACCATGAAAATAAATCAAACGAAAGAATCCTTAGTTTTCTTTATCTACTCGGGGTTGTAGTTGAAGAGCAGCTGGGTGGCACCCTGGATATTGTGCTGGGCCTAGAGTAGGGATGACTCATCTTCCTGAGTTAAAATCTGACCTTAGACATTAATTAACTGGGGCAAGTCACTTAACCCTGTTTATCTCAGTTTCATCATCTGTAAAAGGAGCTGGAGAAGGAAATGGCAAAGCACTCAAGTATCTTTGTCAAGAAAACTCCAAATGGGGTCACTGAAGAGTTGTACATGACTAAAAATAAACCCCCAAATGTAGTTGATGAGTCTAAGATGAATTGGGACTTAGAAAGTCCCCCCAAAAGTTCAGATCTTTCCTTTTGCACTTGACTAGCTATGTGATTCTGGATGAGTCACTCAAACCTTTCTGAGGCTTGTTTCAGTCTTTGGTTGGGGCTGACTCTTCATGACTCCATTTGGGGTCTTCTTGACAAAAATACTAGAGTGGTTTGCCACTTCCTTCTCTTGATCATTTTACAGATGAGGAAACTGAGGCAAACAGGCTTAAGTGACTGCCCATATCACACAGTAAGTGTCTGAGGCCAGATTTGAACTCAAGAAGATGAGTCTTCCTAACTACATGCCTAGCACTCTATCCACCATTATACCTAACTCCCTTTTCTGAGGCTCCATTTCCTTAATTTCCAAATAAGGGGGTGGGATGCTGGAGGTGTTTTCCAACTCGAAATCTACAATCCTATAAAACAAGACAGTTGGCCTCTGGGGATATGGAAGACCCTTCCAGCTCTATAATTTTGCTTCACTTCTGATTCCATGGTCCTCTCTTCTTCTTCTTCTTCTTCTTCTTCTTCTTCTTCTTCTTCTTCTTCTTCTTCTTCTTCTTCTTCTTTCTTCTTCTTCTTCTTCTTTCTTCTTCTTCTTCTTCTCCTCTCCTCCTCCTCCTCCTCTTCTTCTTCTCTCTTCTCTCTTTTTTCTTCTCCTTCTCCTCCTCCCTCTCTTCTCCTTCTCCTTCTTTCCTCCTCTCCGATCCTATAAAACAAGACAGTTGGCCTCTGGGGATATGGAAGACCCTTCCAGCTCTATAATTTTGCTTCACTTCTGATTCCATGGTCCTCTCTTCTTCTTCTTCTTCTTCTTCTTCTTCTTCTTCTTCTTCTTCTTCTTCTTCTTCTTCTTCTTCTTCTTCTTCTTCTTCTTCTTCTCTCCTCCTCTCCTCCTCCTCCTCCTCCTCCTCCTCCTCCTTCTTCTCCTTCTCCTCCTCCTTCTCCTTCTCCTCCTTCTCCTCCTCCTGCTTCTTCCCCTCCTCCTTCTCCTCCTCCTCTAATTTTGCTTCACTTCTGATTCCATGGTCCTCTCTTCTTCTTCTTCTTCTTCTTCTTCTTCTTCTTCTTCTTCTTCTTCTTCTTCTCCTTCTTCTTCTTCTTCTTCTTCTTCTTCTTCTTCTTCTCCTTCTCCTTCTCTTCCTCCTCCTCCTCCTTCTTCTCTTCCTCCTTTTTCTCTTCCTCCTTTTTCTCCTTCTCCTTTTTTAAGGGGAAGAGGAATCAGAGAGAGAATTTCTGTGTCTTTGGTGGTTCTATATAGCATAATTTTTCAACTATAAGGGAACTGTAAGCTGTAGTAATAATATGATGTAGTGACAAAAATGCTTCGCTGTTTGGAAAGCAGTATAGTCCATAGTGTAGGATACCAGAGTCTGGGTCCAGCTTTCAGGACTCTTAGCCAAAATGTTTTTCTTTGTCTGTAGACTGAGGGAGTTGGATTAGTTAACACTGAAGACCCCTTTTGTCTCTAATATTCTAAGTTTCTATTCTAACTCTAAAATAATAAAGCCTTGCATAACTAGCAACAGAACAGTATTTGCCAATCTCCCTTTTTACTTTATTGATTTCACAGGGTTGGTGTGTTGCCTTTGTGTACATGCATGTATTTTTATTTGATTTTTTGAAATGTTCTGCTTGCATTTCTCATTGTCAGTAGAAAACCACAGAAGCATCCAGGGTGCCCCTTGCAATCGGTTGTTTTAATTCACCAGAGACCCATGAATCTTCTCATGTGGCTCAGATTAACTAAAGTCCCTTAATAAGCCTCTACTTGTTGCTGGACTCAAACCTAACTTTCAGTAGATTGACCTGATCACCCTGTAGCAAAGCAAGGCGCATATGCTTTTCCTCCTCTGATCCCCCAATAACATCTTGTACCCTTTCATGGCACATATCACATGCTGCCTTGCATTCTAATTATTTCTCTACTTATCTCTGTTAATAGGTTCCAAAAATCCTTGGGAATAGGGATGGAATCTTTTCATTTTTGTGCCCCCCGCGGAGGATAACACAATACCCTGTGTGGAGTGAGTATTCAAATGAATGAGGCAAAAGCAAACCAAGAAAATCTTTGCCTTCTGGCAGATGTATTCTGGTTTAGATTGTGCCACATTTCTCTTCCAGTTTTGTTTACAAATGTCAGTGTTTGGAATGACCCCCCCCAGTGATTTCAAACTGTGTGTGTCAACCAGAAACCGCATTAGTTCTTTGCCCTTTCAGCTACCGAGGAGAAAGTCTTTAACACAGCTGTATTTAACTGTGTGCCTTCTGCATCTCTACTCCCCATCAAAAACCATCAAGTTGGGAAATAGAAAGGACACACTGAACATTTACTTAGAAGCTGCTGTCTGGGAAACACAAAAGGGAAATTTATTAAATTCCAATGATAGAGAGAATCTAAAGGAAAGTGTGTCAGAATATATTACAGTCTACCTGGATTTTGACCAAATGCTCATCTGTATCCTAATGGATCAAATTACAATGCAGGAATTTTGTAAGGGGAAAGCTATCAGTGGTTACTGATTTGTTGGAATAAGAAATCTTGCTTAAAGAGGTTCATTAACTTGCTCAGGCAACTGGGGTGAATTTGTAGTTATTTGGTTAATTAAGACAATATCTACATTATTGCCAGTGACTTAGGAAGTGAAATCCAAATCTATTACTTTGATTCTTATCATAATTGTAATCTACCAACATAGTACACAGCCATAGAGTCCATTTAATAGCAGATTGCTTTAAAACGAGCCTAGCTCATCACAATGAATCCTGTGCTCCAGTCAGACCATTTTGCTCATTGTCATCCACATAAGCTGTGCTCTTTTCTACTTCTTTCTGTGTCTTTGTTCCCAGAATATTCCCTCTACATGGAATATCATCCCCCTTTCTCTACTTAACTAAATACGTATCCACCAAGGATACGGATTTTTAAAGATCCACTGCAGGTCTCTTTTTCTTCTTTCTTCTCTAGGCTGCTCCAGCCCATACCTTTCCTTCTCATAAATCTTATTCAAATACCATTCATTTGGTGATTTATCATCTATCGTGTGCTATTGCTTGCATATAAGGACAGGGCAATGTAATGGAAAACAATATGGCATTCACAGACTGTTAACAAAAAAACTATTACCCCAAACCTGACAGAACAATTAGCCACAAAAGTTTAAGAGCAGCATTTTATATAGAGTTCGCCATGCCAGACACTCATAATCTCCCAGATACATGGAATGGGAAGCTTCCAAAATCTAGAGAGTTAGGGGAAGAAGTCAAAACCTCACTGGACCAAGATGAAATACAGATTGCCCCAGAATCCTGTCTGCTATTGGAGTTATTCTGAGTTATACTGGAGTTTTCAGTGGGGCTATGCAAAATGAATTTATAGCCCAATGCTTTGATCCAAACACAAAAAGCAATCATTTTGTCCATCTGTGCAATAGTCTAGAGAACATTAAATGTGAAAGAATAATTGCAGAATAGTCACTTATCCTAGAATTATTTCTATCTGAACCTCATTTTCAAAATGATGAGAAAGAAATTAATATTAACATGGATGTAGTGTTTTTATGCTGGCTAGTCAAGAAGGCTTGGATTTGAATCCTGCCTCAGACATTTACTAGCTGGTATGATCTTGGGTGAATCATTTGACTGCTCTCAGACTCACTTTCTTTGTCTGTAAAATGAGACTAATAAGAGAACCTATATATTGTGAGGTAGTTGTGAGTTGTTGTGAGGATCGGATGAGATAATGTATGTGAAGTACTTTTCAAACCTTAAAGTAGTATATAAATGTCAGCTATGTTAATTACTTAATCTCCCTGAATCTCATTTTTCTCAACTATAAAATGGGGTTGCTAATATTGTAAGAATGTTGTAAGGAGAAGTTATTTGAAAATCTAAAATTGTTGGATATGTGAGCTATCATTATTTTATACTTATTTTGCCCTTCTACCATTATTCCACTTTTTTATGGGTTTAAAATTATCTCTGTTCC